TCCTCTTCTGGTTCTGAAAAAAAATTTAGAGAAATCTTTAATTCTTCTCCCAACTCCATCTCTAGAACGTTGGGGTCGTGTGATTCTTCGTCTGCTGATGCTTGTGCCCCTTGTGGTCTCGATGCAGCGAGCACAAGGATGGTGAAGATGGCACAAATTCTACGCAACTCAGCAGATTCAGAACCTGCCCCGAAGGTGTTCGACAAAATGTCTGAACCAATTCCGGAAAAAAAAACATGCAGCACTTGTCAAAGCTGCATATAATTTTTTTTTCGCCAAGAATAGAGTGCCCAAGAACGGATTCCAGCTCCCCGACTTCCCCAACGAAGTGGAAGAAGACATGATGTTTCAGCCCGAAGATGAAAGTGAAATCGAGGAAACATTCGGCATTTGTTTATTGGGCTATTTTGCTGGTAAAACACCACGAAAAATGGCCATGGATTCAGAGACGATTCTGTTATTTTCGAATTTCACCTCAATTGAAGGATTCAAAATGGGGTTTTAGGGATTGGATTTACGGGTTCATTGGGGATATCGAGAATTAGGGATTTTAGAATAGAAATAGGGGAGGAGAATGACGTATCGCTCCACATCACGTTTCGTCGACCAAGTAGGCACTGGGTGTTGTACAGCTCGACATTTAACGGCCACATAGACGTCACGTGAGCCACGCGTGCTATTTCCGTCGAAGTTCGCTGCCGACGTTAACGGCAGAACATAAAGTGATCAAAAGTTGCAAGTTTGAGGACATATTTCGGGGATTGAAATGTTTGAGGACATAAATCATTTTAGTAGTAAAGTTTAGGGACATAAACTGTATTTTTCCCTCAATAAACAAAATAGTAAAACTTGAACTTGAATTGTAAAGGGAATTTCCTAAAAGAAAAATAACCCTCCAAAAAGAGGCTTGTATTGCGGTGAGAACAAGGTATTCTTTAGCAAAAGGCGAAATAATAGTTAGCTATGTGCTTGTTGGTCGAAAACCTACACGCAAGTGCACGTATCGTACAAGTAATATAGTGGACAATTAAGTCCGGATATCGAACCCACAGGGAATATTTAATTATCTAATCCTAGACGCTAAATTCTACCAATTATTATCAAGCCCACCCTACACAGTCGAATAAGGATTAATAAACTAAATTAAACTAAATTAAAAAAACAAGCAAAAACAAGAAAGCAATTTAAAATACGAAGATTAATCAAAGTAGACAAGCCTAGGATTTTATTCTTCCCCCTATGTGATTATTACTCCCCCAATTCCTTCAATTATGCAAGCAATTAACCCGGATTATTAACCTGAGATGCTAAAATAATCATAACCCGCTTCCGCGTGTATTACGATTCTAATACTCTAGATTCAATTACTATATTCCTATGCAATTAATTCTAGAACACAACATTAAGCACAAATCTCAATAATGGCTACCTAAGAGATTAACTATATTCCTATGTTAATACCACAAAGGCTCTTCTACCACAGTTCTAATTATTAACCCGATCTTCCGATTCATGCGATTAACAATAACATAAAAGCGCATAAAGTGGCCAGTTTCATGAACTTAATAAAACAAGTAGAAGAAATAATCCGGAATTAAAACTTGCATAAAATCATAGAATTGGGTTCATAAATCCCACATAGGGTTCCAAATAAAATCCTAGAAATAAGTAATTTAGCTACTCATGATTAAAGCAAAAACGCAAATAAAATAAATCATAGACGATAAATCTTTGCTTGGAGTCTTCGAATTCTTCGTCTTCGTTATTGCTTTGTTGCTCTTGAAATTGCGTGAAAAGGATCCCTCTAATTGTGTGCTTGACTTGGTCTTATATAGGGTGAAGAACTTGGGGAAGAAGGCAGTTTCCTTGTGCAATTAAAATTCCTTCACTGCGCTATTTCGCCCATCCGGACGGCCGTGTGAGATTTATGCCTAAAATCCGCACGGCCGTGCGGTCCTTGATTCTCCAGAATTCTGCTTGTTTCACTTTTTGCCCATATTTTCTCCAAAATTGCAGTTTTGACCCCATACTTTTCCAATTCTTCAATTTATACCTGAAATACAATAAATCAACTTTTTAAGCACCAATTATCGTTAAAACACACCAAAAGCTCAAATAAAAAGATACGATAAAGTGTAAAAATATACACTTAACAGTGCTCACCACATAGCTGCGTAATTTTTAATCAAGTCTCAGACCTTGTATTAATTTGTTCAGGAATACAATTTGTACCCGATAAAGTATCTTCTCCATGTCCAAAAAAAAAAAAGAAACAAATGTCCATAATTCTAGAGCAACATAATGAA